ATGATGACTCTGGGAATAGTGGGGCTTTATTTCCAGCGTGCTACTCTAGTGAGGCATGATCCCTAGAAAGAAACCTGCTGACATAGATGTGACTCCACTGTCACGAGTGGTTTTTTAATTGTAATATACTTTATTCATCATAAATCTTTAAGGAGATACATAGATACTGAAACAGTTCTGTACAGACTTTGCACATCAAGAAAAATAAACCTTGGATCTGACGTTCCCTGCATTTGCAAAGAACAAAGGCATTTCTTTCTTATGCTATTTACATACATTGGCGGCACCAAGAGGGTCTGACAACTGAACAGACCCCGATTTTACTTTGACAGTGGAGTCACATCTATGTCAACCCAGGTTAAGGTCAGCAGGTTTCTTTCTAGGGGTCATGCCTTAAACGGTGGTCTTTTCCTACTGCATGTTGGCAACTGCGAAAGCTTTAGTGCATCCCTCAGCATATGGCCCTGGATCTTGTAGCATGCCAGTCTGCTACACTCAATTGAGGTCACCTCTTTGCACTGGAAGACCAATGAATTTCAGGCAGACCAAAGAGCTGCTTTCATTGAGTTAATGGTCCTCCAGGCACAGTCAATGTTTGTCTGTGTGTTCTGGGGAACAGATCATAGAGCAGAGTCCTGCATCATGGAGCTGCTCAGACAAATCTCAGCAAAAATGACTGCGTCTCTCACCAGACCTCCTTTTGTATAGACACATTCTAGAAGGAAATGTGTAACAATTTTACATGACTATTTTAAATGAGTTGTGGCAGGATAAGTGTAAAAACACACACCGTGTGCAGCAACGAGTGCCCTGGTCTGCATGAAGGCTCTGATGGCCAGTGTCTTTCTCACCACCGACTGAACTACATCTTGGTACTTGTTGCAAAGTTCCAGCAATGAGACATTCTGCCTAATGACTTTGACAGTCTGCTCAAAGAACCACCTAACAGGATCTGCACTGTCTTTTTCTTGCAGTGTCTTGAGGTTGCTATGTGCTGACCACTCCCTGATGGACTTGTGGTCAAAGATGTTGTCCTTTACAAGTTTTTCCATGAGCGACAAGTGATACGGAATGGTCAACTACTTGGACTGTTCCTAGGTAACAAGGCCAGACCCATCTTTCCTAACACCTGGGGACAGGTAGAACCTCAGTATATAGTGACACGTGGTGTTTGTGTACTGAGGGTCTACACACAGCTTGATAAAGCCACCCACGAAGGTGGCCATCAGGATGATGGTGACGTTGGGTATGTTCTTCCCCTCCTTAGCTAGAGCCTTGTACATAGTGTTTCTGTGGACATGGTCTGTCTTTGGCCTCCAGATGAAATGGAAGATGGCTCGAGTGATTGCAATGTTACTGGCTCGAGGAATACGCCAGATCGGCATCATGTACAAGAATACTCAATGTGCCTTACAGTCGATGACCAGGTTTTTACCTGCAGTGAAAAGGGAGCTATGCTCCCATTTACCCAGTTTCTGCCTCACCTTAGCGATATACTCCTTGCAAGTTTGGCATATATGGCTGTTCATATGGTTGATACTTAATAGTCACCTGATTATAAAGGTGGCTGGCTACTCAGTCGTATCAAAAAATAATCTTGTGGAAGGAGAATGCTCGTCACCACTCTTTCTCAGTAGTCGGGAATTAGTCATAAATCCTGACCTTTTCTGAGAATAAGAATATAATTAAATATCATGATCTACTAATGTGTGAAGCTAATTACATGTATGTAACTATCTGAGTACTGTTTTAAAAATAATCTACTGGATGCTTTTAGGTTATCAATTGAGTTGCTAGCTTTGTGGTTCTCAAGAGAAGTAACATAGTTATTCTTTCAGATGTTGATGTTCCATCTCCGGATGAGAAGTCAGTCCTCACTTATGTCTCCTCCATATATGAATCATTTCCAAAGGTCCCAGAAGGAGGTGAAGGTGTCAATGCAAATGTAAGTTTTCAAACTTTTCAACTTGTAGCTTAACATGACAATGTAGTGTATTGCATTGCAAATGTAAGGAGTAAACCAGAGCTGCTCACATGAAAATGGCTAAATACTTTAACTGAAGGATACAACAGTGCAATGCCAAGTTTTTTTCCCACAGTTCTGGGTTTTGTACAAAGTTACCAAGAAATGGGTTTTTTTACACCTGCCCTTATCGAAATTATCCGTTTCATTAATAATATGCTTAAATTTATGAGTCATTTATGATACAGAAGGAGGCCGTTCCATCCCAATTATGCAAGCTCCCTGCAGAGCAGTCCTGTTAATCCCACTCTCCAACTCGATCCCTGCAACCTTGCGATGCTATTGCACTTGAGTGTCCATCTAATTTGGCTCTTATTATCAAAGTTGAGTACAGAGTGCTTGTGAAACCTGGAAACTTTTGTATTTAGTCATGCGATGTGATGTTGCTGGCTGAGCAGCATCTCTTACCCATCCCTAGTTACCCTTGAAAAGGTGGGGTGAACTGTCTATGTGCTGTTGGTTGACCACCATTGACATTAGGGAGGAATTCCAGGATTTTGACCCGAGATTTTGGCTTCTAACTCTTGCTTTACTACTTAACATTCTTGTACTTAGAATAATACAACAATAATTATGTCTTAAAATAGGATATTTGGCAGTGTGGGGGTCTGTTAAAGAACTTCAGGAAGGTTAAAAATGATTTATTGCATAGAATCCTAGAGATGTAACAGACCCTTCAGTCCAATCTAAACCCTTCTTTTTCATATACCCATTCCAGATGCCTTTTTAAGTGTGGTAATTGTACCAGTCTCCTCCCCTTCCTCTGTTCGTTCATTCCATACACACGCTACCCTGCGTGGAAAAGTTGCCCCATTTTCAATCTTACCTCTGTCACCTTAGACCTATGCCTTAGAGTTTTGGACTTTGACTATTCGCGCTATCCGTGCCCCTCATGATTTTATAAATGTCTAAGAGGTCACCCCTCTGCCTCCGACACTCCAGAGAATATGGCCCCAGCCTATTCATCCTCCAGTCCTGGCAACACCCTTGTAAAACTTTTCTGAACTCTTGCAAGTTTAACAATATCTTTCCTATAGCAGGGAAACCAGAATTAAACGCGGTATTCCAAAAGTTTCCCAACCAATATCCTGCACAACCGCAACATGACACCTCCCCCCACCCACCAACTCCCATAATCAGTACACTGACCAATAAAGGCAAGTGTACCAAATGCCACCTTTATTACCCTGTCTACCTGCAGCGCCATTTCAAGGAACTATGAACCTGCACTACAAGGTCCCTTTGTTCACTCCCCAGGACCTTACCATTAAGTGTATGAGTCCTGCCCTGATTTGCCTTTCCAAAATGCACCACCACACATTTATCTAGATCAAACTCTATTTGCCACTCTTCGGCCCTTTGGCCCATCTGATTGAGGTCCCGTTGTACTGAGGTAACCTTGGCTGTCTGCAGCATGTCATCTGCCAACTTACTAACTATACCTCCTACTGTCACATCCAGTAATTCATATAAGTGACAAAAAGCAGTGGACCCAAACCTGATCCTTGCAGCACGCCACTGGTCACAGGCCCCTCCACCACCTCCGGCAGTCTCCTACTTTCAATCCAATTTGTCTCCAAATGGCTAGTTCTCTCTGTATACCATGTGATCTAACCTTGTTAACCAGTCTACCGTGCAGAACCTTGTTGAATACCTTACTAATGTATAACTGAAGTTTGCAGCAGAATGAAGCCACCCAAGACACAGTAGCTTTTCTAGGCAAATCTAAAGCATGTTCTGCTACCCTGCTATTTTCCTAGAGTCTTGTCTTACAATGCTTCAAATATTTATGAAGACTTCTCTCAAAAGATACATTGGTCTTCACTTCAGTCACATCTTTTAGCGAAGCATTTCATTATTCAATCAAATTTCTGTAAAGAAATTTCACCTGACATCTCTCCTGTTCTCAATGTTAAATTGATAATTCCACATCATTAACTCCCAAATAGAATGAATATAGAAAGATTATTTTTATACTATCAAAACTGTTCAGTTTTAGAAGTCTCTTAATGTTCTTTTTCAGCTGAAGCCTCTGCTGTAAATACTGTATATCATTCCTAGCACAACCTGCTAACTCTTGCACTCTCAGGCTTTTGCCCTTTCTGTGATCAGTCATCCAAAAATACAGTATTCCGTGACCTAACAAATACTTGTGTATAAACCCATGATTCCTACTTTATTCTGTACACTATACTGCATGTGTGAAATTCAACATTTTTTTTTTATTCTCTTTACATACCTGCACTTTCAGGGAAGTATCTATTTAAACTTTTAATTGTTCATTGTTCATTCTCAACATTTCATGACATGTTGACTCTGAATTTTTCCATAAATGTATTGTCCCACTTTTAGCATTTAAGTTACATTTGCCATTTGTCTGCCAGTTCCTCTCTCCTGCCCATCCCCTTTTCTAAAGTTAATTAACAGCCCCGTTCACTCAAAATGTTTTAATTTTTGTGTAAACAAAGTTTAAAATGCATTCCTTCTGTCCAAGTTCAAACCATCTATATGTAACAAAATCAAAAGTGGGCCCAGCCCTTCCTTTTTGGGCTGGAGTACATCTGATCCTGTTCCAGGCTGAGCATAGCTTAGTTTGCCCTATCATTGTTTAATGACTGTTCGTTTGAAACTTTCCTTCCAAAGTGCTCTGTTTCTTATCACCTAATATACCTGAACTTCTCCAAGGGAACTCTTGGCATGCTTTATCAAAAGCTTTTCTGAAAATTTTCTATGCACCATAACTGCTGCTATCTTTTTATCTATTTAACTAATCCTCAGTAAACAATTAATAAATGTCAAATTTGCCATTAAAAAGTTTGAACTCCCTGCCTTTGATTTTTTTTTGTATTTCTAACTCCTTAATAGTTTGGTTTATTGATGTTAAATAGTTAACTATAGCTAATATACAATGAACAAGTCTTTATTTATGTGGTTCATCCTTCTTTTCCGTTCAGAACGTGGATCTTGCACCAGCTACTTTCAGTCCTTTCTTAGTTCAGGAAGATTGAAAAATTATGGCCATAGATCCTGCTGTTTTGTTTGTTTTGATGTCAAAACATATAAACAGCTACATAAAATTGATAATGATGCCATAAATAGCAATAAACAACTCCAGACTGAAATAATAACTAATACTTTGGTTTGGGTTTATTTAAATGATTCACTTGTACAATAACCAGAAGGTGGTGTGTGTGGCACTTGTACTAACTCAATTTTTGTTTTATGTGCAGGGTTTTCTAACACTAACCCTATCTCAAAATTATACATCGCAGAAAGAATATAATTCAGCTCAGGATTTTGTCTGAATTTTTTTCTTTTTAACAAAAAATGTTGTCAGCTCACTTCCATCTTTAAAGACTTATGCACACGAGCCTTCAGCTCTCTCTGTTTCTGCCCTCTCTTTTATGATCTGAATGGTACAATTTTACTCCCTTATCACACACTCTTCCAAAATGCATCACTTCATACTAATTTGCATTAAATGTTATCTACTGTATATTTCCACACTTTAATTGTCTGTGTTCGTCTGAAGTCTGTCCACACCTTTTATCTACATTTCCAAGTTTCAAGTTATTAGTAAACTTTACATTTTACCTGCTGTACCCAAGATTTGACAATTAATGTATATCAAAAAATGGAACATTGCTTTCGTTGTGGTTGAATTGATGTGTTAAGTGTTCTAATTGTCAGTCATTGTTTAGGCTTTTCTGATTATTATTGCTGCTTTTCTCTCCAGGAGGTTGATTCTAAATGGCAGGAATACCAGAATAAAGTAAACTACCTCTTCGAGTGGATCAGGCAGCACATCATACTGATGTCTGATAAAGCTTTTCCACACAATCCTGTAGAACTTAAGGTGAATATTCCAAATCTTCCTGCTATGTCATTATATACAGAACTTGGAGAACTATGCAGTGTTTAAATAAATTCAGATGGCAATAATAGTAATTTTTAGGGTATGTTTTTGTATGGTGCTGCAAAGATTTGTTGGAGAATTGTATGCTATATTCAGCCCAATACTTGTACTACCAGTAAATAGAATAACTACCAATTTTTTGATGAAACAAAACAAAAGTTGCTGGAGAAACTCAACAGGTTTGGCAGCATCTTTAGAGGGAAGGCAGAGTCGATGTTTCAGGCTCTATACTTTAGAGTCTAGGGCAGCCCCCTTCTGAGGAAGGGTCACTGGACCTAAAACGTTGACTCTGCTTTCTGTCATGAATGCTGCCAGACCTGCTGAGTTTCTCCAACAGCTTGTTTTTGCTCCAGATTTCCAGCATCAGTAGTGGATTTGAGATTCACTGGAAGTGAAGTGATTTTAACGTTTGACTCTGGTTTAAAATAATTAATTTATCTTGCTTTTGACTATTTTTATCTGTTTCTACATGTATTAAACTCTCGTCTGATTTAAGGAACTATACTTAAATTCACTGTGCATATTTACCAGTTCTAGATGAAAAGTGTTTGATGGAATACTGGAATTTTGACTATAAATTATGGAAAGAGTTAAAGTGGAAAACAAATGGCACTCAGTGAAAATCCTCTTAAAGTGAATTTAATCTTGGTGTTATTTACTTCGGCTGTAGAGTAGTTGGTTGTATCTTTTTGGTTGAAGGAGAAAGTTAATTGTGGGAGCAGTTGTGCAGAAACTGAAAAGGTATATTCATGGAATTATTTTATATATAAAAGAACAATTTTTGGTTTCCAAAATGTCTGAAATGGTACAGTAAGCTTTTTTGGATTCAGTCATGGAAGCTTTAACTGCTGATTCTCTTCTCTTTCTTTCCACAGGCACTTTATAATGAATATGTACATTTTAAAGAAACTGAAATACCAGCAAAAGAAGCAGAAAAGGCACAAATACAACATTTATATAAATTATTTGAGGTAAGAGGTTGGGACTAGAAATTGGGTTAAGCATAAATTAAAAGGGTGACAGAAACTAGGGAATTACAGACCAGTTAGCCTGACATCTGTGGTAGGGCAATTATTAGAGCCTGTAATCAAGAATTGGGTAACTGATCACCTCAAATTTTCAAGTTACTCAGGAAGAGTCAGCATGGACTCATAAAGGGTAAGTTGTTCTTGACAAACGTCACTTTTTGAAGATATGACAAAGGTGGTGGACCAAGGTAAGCTGATACATGTTGTGATATAGACTTCCAGAAGGCTTTTAATAAAGTTCCATACAAGAGAATGTTAGCAATGATGGAAGCCCAGGGAATTGAGGGCAAATTACAGGAATAGATAGGTAATTGGTTGAGTGGCAGGAAACAGAATTTGAATAATGCGTACATAAACAAATTGGCAAGATATAACAGGCATCCTGCAGGGATCTTTTGGAGCATCAATTATTCAGTTATTATTAACAACTTGGATAATGGCTTAAAAAGTCAAATATCTAAATTTGCTAATGACACGCAATTGGGCAGCTTTGTAGATAGTGATGACAACAGGATATTGATAGGTTAGGTGAATAGGCAAAGCTGTGGCAGATGTGTTTTAATGTAGGCAAGTGTGAGGGTATCCATTTTGGACCGAAAAAGGATAAGTCAGGATTTTTTTTTTAAGAATACGGTGGATGGCCAATCTGACTGGGGGTCAGATACCTAGGTGTTTAAAATGACATGAACAAGTGCAGAAAATAGCCATGGAGGATAATGAAATGCTGGCCTTGTCTCTCGAGCTGGAGTATAAGAATGCAGATGTTATGCTGAAATTATACAAAACCCTTTGTTGACCCTACTTGGAGTACTGTGAGCATAGCTGGGCATCACATCTTAGGAAGGATGGCCTACTACTCTTCCTAAAATGTGATCTGACAACTTGTGGTTTAACTGTAGTGATCTAGCAGCACTTCTTTTGGACAGGGCCAGTGAGCTGTAGGTACTATACATGGAGGACAACCAGTAGGGTTGGCTTTCCTGAGAATCAAGAATCCGAAGAGCCCAAATATGGAAAGAGTATATGCGGGGATTGAATGGTGGTCAGCTACTGTACTTGTTCTTAATGTTGGTAGGAGAGGAATACTTCTCCGAACTCCCATCATGCCTTTTTTCAGGATTGTTGATTTGACTCCTCGGGGCATGAATGCATGCTAGAGGCTGTAGTTGCACATGGTCCAACTTCACAACAAGGCCTCAAAACAAACTTAGACACCTCCTCCGCACCACCCCCCCCCCCCCCCCCCTTCCCCAGAATTTGCCCAAACATTAACCTACTTTCTCATCATAACGAGGCAAAAGCATGAGCACTTTAGTGGATGATGTACCTGCAAATGGGCCCTTTGATCACAATCCAATTTATAGGTCTGGATCTTAAAAAGACGGCATTTTTCTTGCTCAGAATAGCTGTTTCTGTATTTGGGAACTTCGGCAATATCTGTTTCTTTTCCTTAGGTTTGGATAGAGTTTGGTCGAATTTTGCTTCCCCAAGGATACCACCCCAATGATGTAGAAGAAGAATGGGGCAAACTGATCATTGAAATGTTGGAGAGAGAGAAAGCCCTCAGACCTGCAGTAGACAGGTTTGTTTATTAATATGATTATTATTATGTTTTCAGTTTTGCAAGCAAATATAATCAGTAATAAAAATGAAATTTCTACACCACGTCCACCAGAATAATCCACAGGACTATTTGAATGCTTAATTTGTACGATTGTTATCAGTATTTTGGTGAAACGGAATTTATGAGCATTTGAAAGCAATTTTTTAACCATGCCTTAAGATAGGAAAAAAAAAGGTCCTTTATATTAGCAGCTCTTGATTATTGGTATGTCAATGAAATAGAATTGATTATATTGCTGATTCTCAGTAAGCAATTCTATCTCTGCAATAGTTTGTTCTTGTACATTGCAAATGCAAAACAGAATGTTGTTATTAAAACGATCAGGACAGTATAGTTGTGGTAAGTAGATTGGGCCTGACACAGCAGCACACTTGGATTTTACTAATATTTAAATTGCTTTTAAATTGGTTTAGAAAAGTGTGATGCTCCACAACTGCAAGAAATTTTACATTATGCCATAGTGATTTTGAAAAGACTTGGAGTTGTATGATTATGCCAGTATCAGTGAGACATTAGACACAAAATATTGAGTAATATTAAGTATTACTCAATATTAAATATCAAGTATTTTGAATTCTATATGTTCCTCGTACATTAAGCTTATTTTGTCTACTGTATTTGGAATATTTAACAATTTGAAAAATAATAAATATAAAGCTAATGAACAGTATGTTAACTTTACTGGTTTTTTGCCTCGCCCTTCACCCAAAAAGCACTGTATTGGCCAAGTCACAGACTGTGTAGGCAGGACTTCTTGGCAGCATTGTACCACTATATTTGTGATAAATTCAAGGTTTAGAACTTCAGCAAAACAGTTGGTAAAGAAATGAAGCTGAGGTGTGATTAATTAAAGGACCTTAACCTGCACTGACCTACATCTTATTATTAAGAAACTAGATATCAAACCAAAGATTCAGCAGGAAGACTAGCAATAGTCTTCAAGAGGCAATGGCCTAGTGGTATAATCGCTGGAATGTTAATCCAGACAATGTTCTGGGGACCCAGGTTCGAATCCTGCCATGGCAGATGGTGGAATTTGAATTTAATAAAATATCTGGAATTAAAATCTAATGATGCCCATCAATCCATTGTCAATTGTTGGAAAAACCCATCTGGTTCACTAATGTCCTTTAGGGAAGGAAACTGCCAACCTTACCTGGTCTGGCCTACACATGACTCCAGACCTACAGCAATGGGGTTGACTCTGAACTGCACTCTGGGCAATTGGGGATGGGCAATAAATGCTGCATAGCCGGCAATGCCCTCATCCCCTGGATGAATTTTAAAAAAAGGCAATAGTTTGTACAGTGTAGCAAAGATTTATTGATATTGCAATAGATAAATAATACAGCATGTTCAGAAGTCACATTTCTCTGCTAATCTTGGTATATCATAAGTTGTTGAGGGGTGAAGCCCATTTTCAAGAAGTGTTGCTGTGGTGTGGTGAGTAAATGTAAATCTTTTTACAATGAAGTGGGTATGGACACAAATTTGGAAATGATGGACAGTTCAACATATTTCAAAATGTTGTATCCAATGAAATGGATGAAGTAGACATGCTGTAGTAGCCAGATTTTCAAACAATAAATGTGCTCGATGGCAGTATAGAAAGCCATGTGCTTAATGTGAAATTCATTTCTCCCTCTGTATCCTTTTCCAGGCTGGAACTATTGCTGCAGATTGCCAATAAAATCCAAAATGGAGCTTTGAACTGTGAGGAAAAAATAACATTGGCCAAAAATACTCTGCAAGCTGTGAGTAGTGGTGACCATTACAGAGATAATTTGTAATATCTCTGTTCTGTGGGGGATAGATTTGTATATATAATGTAAAAACAAAAGTGCAAAAATACTTAGTCAGGTTTGTGCAGAGAGTAAATGTTTCCGATCTGTGACCTTTCATCAGAACTGACAGGCTAAAAATGTAATAGTTTGAGCAAGTGTAAAGGGGAAGAATGGGGGGAAAAAAGCAAAAAAAAAGGAAGATTGTGTAGAGGAAAGAAGATATTAACTATTGAGGTTTTGTGGTACAAGATTAAAGGGAGTAGTAATGGGGCAATTTTTAAAAAAGTGTCTAGAAGTATGAACAATAATATACTGCGTAGCTGCCATTTGAAAACCAGGTTGGCAAAGTAAACAAAATAGAGGCAGAGGTTATGAACTTCATGTTGTGTTCAGAAGGCTGTAAATGAAAATGTGCTGATAACGAAGTGTTGAGTTTCATTTGAATACTGTAGCAGGTCTAGGGCAGAATTGTCAGAATGGAAGTAAAGTAGTGAATTAAAATGGAAACCTTTTGTCTTAACGGCAGTGTTCTGCGAACTGATTTTCCTAGTGTAGCAGGGACCATATCATGGGCAGCAAATAAAAATTAATGTTTGCTACAATCATGACATTCAATACAGTCTATATGATCACATCTCATGAGCTGGATTAACGATTATTTTCCCCAAAGTTATGAGTCACTAACTAATAAGCTTCTCAAATTAAAGTCTTTCAAGTTGTTGTGTCACAGATGCATGAATTTAATTTAATTTAATGTATTTCATCTTGTTTTTCCCCAGGATGCTGCTCACATAGAGTCAGGCCAGCAGGTTCAATATGAAACTGAAGTGCTTATGTACTTAGAGGAATGTGAGCAAATAATACGGCAGCTTCAAATTGATGTGCAGATTCTGAGAGATGAGAAGTATTATCAAGTGGAACAAATTGCGATGAGGTAAGTGTTTTTTTTTCTTGATAACGTGTTTATTTGGACCAAACATTCATTCCATGTGAAGCAATGCCACCAATTAAGAGAACACAAAATAAAATTGTCGTAAATGGAGATCTTCTGTCCTTACATTAGAAATGCATACACATTTACTGAACGACAGTGAGGGTCGCACTATCCCTTACACCACTATCTGTATTTCAGTGGTAAATGCAATTATGACTTGTGGTTTTTGCATTTGTTGTTTCTTTAAGCAGTGCTGCTACAATCCACTAAACTTTCAATAAGTAATTGTGTAATTGATGTTTAAGCTGTTGAATATTGTTTAGTATCATTTTGTGTTTTAATATTTAAAAGGAAATTGTGAACTATTAATCTGATAACTTGTTACTTAAAGATGTTTCTGAGTTGCATTATGAAATTTTGCTCACAGTCTGACAAGATTGTGACTGAAATAATACCGCTACTAAAGTGCAATTAAGTCAAGTGTTTAGAAAATCATAGTGAACATGTGTAGTCTGCTTAGTGGAAATTGAAGTGGCAAGGATACCATATTATTTTATCTGTGGATACCAGACCTGCAGCCAACTCCGAAGAGAAGCATATGGAGCTATAATATATTAAAAGGGCATTTTTATGCTTATTGAAATACAGAATTGTGGGTGAGGGATGATGGAAAGAAAATTTTTGTGTTTCAAGCACTCAGTTCCAGCTTTGAGTTCTACCAGATTGGTAATGTGCGATCGAGTTATCAACGTACATTTCTTTCTATTTGTCTTCAATAACTTATTTAGTCTCAACTACAAGTTAACCTTAATTTATCAACTCGCCACTTCAATGCATGTGTGCTGGCTTTGAATTTGGAAATATATTGCTGATTTTCTGGTAAAATTGTGTGCAGTTCTTGCATTTGTGTATCCACCCAATTAGAACTAGGTTAAGATTATCATAAAATCTTTAACGTATATCTTTAGAGTGCGATATATTTTCTCATCAACCTGTTCAGAGATGTTATTACCTCTGGAGCAGGTATGACTTGAACCCAGGCCTCCTGCTGTAGAGATAGGTACCCTACACTGCACCACGAAACCCTATTAACTGTCTCATTTAACTGTTTTAAATACAAATGAGGCAGGCCCGCACTGATTGTTCAGGACATTGCCATGAGTCACATGGCATCAGATCAACACTGAAATTTATAATGTCACAGTACTCATTTGTGTGACAGGCTGAATGTCTTTTTGGTTTGATGATAACTTTCTATTAGTGGAGGATACCACTCATTTCCTGCAAGGTAGAAGCATGAGATGGTTAGCTTCAAAACTTATACAGCATGAGGATAGAGTGGTCAGTATGAATAAGTTGTTTCTTCTACTGAAGTTGTTTTTTTCTTGCATTTCAATTCTGACGAGTACAAGAAGTGTCAGCTTCATGACATTTTAGTAATGTTAACACATCATTGAAGGTGAAAGATGACTTTTAATTAGAAAATCTGCATTAAGATTGTTTTAATATGACAAGCATGGCAGTAATGTTACCTAACGAATTTGATATACTGGTATAAGTCATGTCATGTTGACGTGTTGATGAAGCCTTGATTGGCATATTTTATCTTTTTGTTCACAGAATTATTAAACTACAGGATGAGCTTGTGGCATTGAGACTTGAATGCACAAACTTGTACAGAAAAGGACATTTTATCTCCTCCACAGAGCATTTGCAACCTTTGAACTTGACTGTCACTGACTTAACAACTGATGCCAGTTCAGGCACTTTGCACATCACTTCCCTTATGGGGTTTAAAAAACCCGTGACAAGATCAGAATTGATTGCAGCCTCTTCAACACAAGATGAAGGAAACCTGAGATTTGTGTATGAGCTTTTGGCTTGGGTGGAGGAAGTGCAGGTACTGTAAAATTCTTCGGTTATGCAAGTCAGAACTGGACTGCGCTTATGCAAGCTAAGGTTTCATTGTTTTGAATTGTTTGCAAGCTTTTGTGAAAATGAGTTTGTACCCCCATCTTTAAAAACAGCACAATTGTTGGCTTTTGTTGGATTATGTCCATACCACACAATTATTTGAGCAATGCCTTGAAATGCAGTTGCTGTTAGTATGCAATTTCGTTTGCCAAAATTTCAGATTTATGCTTCAACATAAAAATCTATCTGCATTGCTAAAGTTGCAAGTATGTGTTGCAGGCCATGCATGTTGCATTATATTATCTTGTTCCCTTCAACTAGTAATGAAATTGAAATGGAAAAATCATCAAATATTTTCCAATTTTTGATTCTAAAGTTAGTTACAAGCATTGGTCACGGTCAAGGAAATCCCTGTGGCTGGTATCGGCAATCTTTCTCAGGCTTTCGAAGCTGTAACATCTTCTCGGCTACACGGTGTCATGACCAAGGATTATAATCTTGGATTACCTCCTGGGCATAACCTTTTGTTTGCAATGTGTGCCTTTTCTAAAGAAAGATGATACAGCCTAAAGAGGAGTTTGAATGTAAATGACGCACCTATGCGGTCAGAGAAATCTCAAACAGAGACTTAAAAGGAAGAGATGGTGAGAGTCTGTCTTCTCAACCCCTTCTAAACAAGAAGCCACTTCCTGCAGTAATGTTTGTGTTTTATCCTTTTGAAAGACATACAAAGACCAGGATGGAATGCCAGCTTCAAATCTGGCCTGTCTGTGTTTAGTGGCCTGATGTCCTAGAGTTAAGCACCTTCTCAATTTGAGTGCTACCAGCCAGCTACTGTTGAAAGGAACCAGGACAAAAGAATTTCAATCTTCCTGAAAGCCCCAGAATCTTGATGTTGACAGTTCTTCTATTAATGTCAACATTACCATTAACATTACTGCAGTGGTTGCAGAATTAATTTTCGTCTACTCTTCACAAAACAGCTCTGAGATGATCCGTATATTTTTTTCAACTCTTGTTTTTTTTGGACTCCCATCTTATTCCGTGTGTGTGTGCTGGATTATTTTTCTTCTTGCATTTAGTAACAAATAAGCTCTTGTGATTTCAAGATAGCCTTACTAAAACGTCATTCATTTCGTCTGGGCGGGAAGGGATCCTTCTTTAAATTAACTTTGTTGAGACCAGCTGAGGGAGAAGGTGAATCAAGGAGGGGAGCAAGTTCATCCTTTCTCACCCAGGAGCTTAATGATTGGGCATCTTGTCTGGAACAATTTCAATGTCAAGTAGTTAGATTGGAATTGATGCATGTTTTGATCTCACAGGTAAGGCTTGATCGAGCTGAGTGGGGCACTGACTTGCCTAGTGTGGAGATACAGCTTGATAACCACAAGACAATCCACACTGCGGTAGAAGAACTGGAATCTAGTCTTAAAGAAGCTAAAATTTATGAAGTAAGTTTTTTTTTTTTTTTCATGTTTATGTCTCAGTAATTCAGGCATGTGTATTTCACGACCAGGTGAATATATCAAAACTCTAGATTAGCTGCCAATTGCATTCTAAACTTCTGCTAAATATCACTATCTTTTAGGCATGGACTTTGTGTAGATCTTAACAAAGGCCTCCTCTTTCAAAGGGGACCATTCTGCCTGTCTTTATTGCTGAATAACTTTTGCTTTATTAGAAAAGCTTAGTGTTAATGCCTTCTGCATTCATCCTAAACTGAATACCCACAACGTAATTGCATTTGTATAAGAGTTAATTAAGAAAATGAATAATCAAGGTGAATGTAGCATTAACTTTAATTTGAAATCGCTTGTTGTAGTATCAGATTTATTTGATTGGTTTAGGTTTATTGCTTGCAAAATTGAGGCTCTGAGAAAAAGGAGGACTGTCATTTATTCTTCCGTCATTCAAGAAGTTTGTGACAATTTTCTACCCCAACTCTTTTCTTGGCTCATTCCCATATTTTTCCAAGTAATAAGTATTCATACTTTAGACAGACATCCACAATTTTCAATTAAGTAATATTGTCACTTTTTTGGTAAGTAAAGGTAATTTTATTGCTTTGTTTTTGAAGGCTTCTGTGCTTTCAGAGATTATCATTGGTGATGTCAGTTTCAATCTTTAAATTCCATTTTTGCGTTGCAGAATACTGTGCTGCGATGTACTTGTCCAGAAACCATAAAGTTTCCCTTTACAATGTACAACATACATTGATTTCTCCAAATTATTCTGTTTACAGGGTCAAATCTCTCCCAATTTCAAGACCAGTTATGTAGATACATTAAGTAAACTGGAGCTACAATACCTCAAACTACTGGTAAGTTGTTAGTTTGAATCACTTAATCATTTCATAATTAACGAGAAATAAAAGTGCTACCCAATATATTACGAGTTTGATGACCACTGGTGAGTATTAAAAGCTTTCAGCTACCCAGATTAAATCTTGTCTGTGCCAATAATTAAATAAAACCAATATAAGCAGTGGAATAGGACATGATGCTTTTTTTGTTAAACCTGAGTTACCTTGTACATCTTCATTGGAACCAAGCAGACAAGTTTGTGCATTTTTTAAGGTGTATTACATTAGGATTTCTTTCATCCTACTTTTAATGAGAGAGAATTCTATAACACTTCAAAGCTAATTTCTTTAATAAGTCAAACCAAATTTTGTGGCAAAAATGCAAATGGACAAACAAGGAGTAGAAGTAGGCTGCTCTGCCCCTTAAGTCCACTATTCAATAAAATTATGGCTGATCTGATTATGACTTCAAACCATATTCCCACCAATCCCTTGTTAAGCAAGAATCTGTTGACCTTTCCTTTAAGAATATTCAATAACTGTTTACACCACCTTTTCAGGAAGGAGTTCCAAAGACTCCTAACCCTCAAGGTTTTTAAAAAAAAAAAATTCACTTCACTTCACTTCATCTCTATTCGAAGCAGACAATTGCTGATACTTAAACAGTGACTCCTAGTTTCCTTGATTTTTTTCCCCATAAGAGGCAACATTCTCTTCGCAACGCCCATGTCAAGATCCCTGTCAATTAACACCTTACTTTTCTTAAATCCAGTAAATACAAACCTAGCTTGTCCAACCTTTCTTCGTAAGACAACCCATTCATTCCAGGTGATAGTGTAGTAACTGTTTTCTGAACTGCTTTCAACAGATTTACATTCTTCCTTAAGTTGACCAACACTGCCTACACCAAATGGACTAAAGCAGTTCAAAAAGGCAGCTCATCACCACATTCTAAAGATCAATGAGGGATGGGCAATAGATGTTGGACCAGCTAGCCTGATCACCAGAATGATTAGAAAAAAAATGCCCTCTAATTTTCCAGAATTCCTCCATCGTTCCATTTCCAGCTTTATAACTCCTCCTAGGATGTTATTTGTATCCTCTATAGTGGAGACTGATGTTAAATACCTGTTCAGTTTATCTGCCATATCTTTATTTTGCATTATTAATCCTCCAAATTCATTTTCTATGTAGCCAGTGCTCACTTTAACTGTATAGAAAACCTTATCATTTGCGTACATGTTTCTGGCTAACTTTTTCTCATACTCCAGTTTTACCCTCATTAATTGTTTGGTCATTGTTTGCTTATTATATTCTGTCCAATCTTCTGACTTCCGCCTGTCTCTGCACACTTGTTTTTCCTTCAAGTTTGACACTTTAATGTCTCTGTAAAATTCAATCACTATTATCGTTACTGCTTCACTGTGAGATCATTATTTAGTCTTATCTGAGCGCGCAATACGAGGTCTGGTATAACCTGTTCTCTGATCAGCTCCGTAACATGCATTTCCAAGAAACTATCGTGAAAATGTTCTGAACTGCTCAGCTTGGCTGCCTTTGCCCACCTGACATTTGCATTCCAATTATAAATTAAAATTGACCATGATTATTCCCTTGCCTTTTTGACCAGGGACCATTTATTTCTTCTTTTTATGCTCTAACCTGCCTATACATAGAGTCCCACAAGTGACCTCCTGCCTTCATTCTTTTTCATCTTGTCTCAAACTGTTCCCACATCCTGGTTTACTGAACTGAGGGCATCCCTCTCTCCATGCTAAAACTGTGATAATGTAACAGTACCATCTGTCCACCGTCTCCTAGCATCATGTTCTTCCTAGATGTGCTGTATCCTTCAACATTCAGGTCCCAAACCATGTCAGCTTGCAGCCACTTTTCTGGAATGCCTAATGGATTGAATCCATTTATTTCTATTGGTTTACCCATTTCAAATACTACTTGCATTCAAATACAAAATTTTTATTTTGATCTTGTTCTTTTTGTATATTCTAGTCTAATCAGTTAGTTTATTCTTAGATTTGTATTATTTGTCCCTCTCCGTCAATCCGTTTGTCACGGTTTTCATTCTTTCTTATCTGCCCTCCTTGATTTACCACGTCCTCTTAGATTTGATCCCTTGCCCCCACTATTTAATTTAAAATTCTTTTGACTTATGTATTTTTAAAAAGTTTATGGTATTTTGCCAAGCAGTCTGTACATATGTATGCTTTAAGAACAATTGGTAACAACAGCAATTTTAGAATTTTTAATTAAAGCTCAAATTTAAAAAAAAAAATACACTTGAATGAACTTGGTAGGAGGAGGAGAGGAGGCAAAGCAAAGACTTCAGTAAGAGGGAAACTGTCTTGAAACAGCTATAGAAGAATGTGTCTATTGCCATCAGTGACCATGCTCTGCAATCAATCAGGCATAGCTTACCTGCAGCCAATCACCACAAGCAGACAGGACAGCTAAGGTTTTGTGGCAGAGCGGAACTGAGGGAGAAACGAACAAAGATAAAAGCTCAAAGCACTAATGTATGGAATGAGAGAAAGATAAAATACAGCAAACCTTATGTGAATATTTAGTTTATATTTTTAAAGCTCAAATCTTTGTATAAAATAACAGTTTTTGTTAAAAAGTCTACTCGACTATTCAGACTTGCTTCAGATTTCTTCTGTTCCTTTGCTACTGCTTTTCCTGTTTCTTGTTCTAATGGGAGCAAAATGTCTGGTAATTTCCCATTGTGAAATTGAAAGACACTGGAGGTCCTGAAAGTAGGTAGACAATTAATTTGATTAGAACTAGTTTTGATTTTGCAACAGTATGGAAAAGTAGTTAAACATTCACAGCAGTACTTATTTTTATTTCATTTTTCTGAACAATTTTCTTGATAATTTAAAGATTATTTTCATTTGTTTTCTTTGTTTGAATTCTACTGTTTTCCCCTCTGATTATAAAGGGTTCATCTCTGCATTGAAACTTGTGCCAGTGCCACTTTCCACCAGTCTGAAGGGGTGAAGAACAGTGAGTGGATAGGAATATCCTTTCCTCTCAAACACTGAAAACTAGTGCATTCCATGTACCAAATGTATTATTTATATGTATAAAAGGAATTTTCATTCTGCAAATTAAAATCGTAGTTGACAGTAGTTATAGTTTATTGTAATAGTGTTCTCATAATCAAACACTGATCTCTCTACAAAAGTGGTCAAACAGTTAATTGATGGTCACAATTAATTGTCACAGCTGACTGGGGTAGCATGCTACAACTGAACCCTCATTATTTCCAGAGTCATCAGAAATGTGAAAATTTGATTGAACCTTCAAATTGCCTAATTGCACCAGTCTGTTAAATTCAAGTTGAGAGAATGCACGCCAGATTTTTCCATTTCAGACAAGCGCAGCCTGGCAATTGTTCAGATCACAGATTTCAATGAGTTGTTTTCTGCTAACTCCTTCTGAATCTTTGCTAATGATGCAAAGATTTCACTAGTTGAGAATTTTCCCTTTGTGTCTCTGAAGGTCTTGTTTTTCCCTTTTCTTCCTTTCAACAAGGTAAGTTGCAGCGTAGGGAAATGCCGAATGAGAACGGCTACCAGGAGGTTTTCTTTTATTTCCTCCCATATAAGGGACAGCAAGGTTCAGTTCCTTCTCTTTTTTTCAGGCTAGAAGCTTGACATTGCATGCAGGCTAAGGTCACCTGTCCAGGAGACTGTCAAGTGATTGTTGTTATGCTGAGCCCTTATGATAGTATTTGATTAGTTTTTCAAATATGATCTCTGGGTAAAAAACTGCCCTGAACACACCCAGGCAGTGTCATTCTTTCTGGAATGCACTGTCCTTACTTGAATAAGGCAACCTTTATAGATACAGCTTACAATTTGTTCCAGTAACTCCTTTTTAAAACTGCAAACATCATCTTCCAGTTTCCTTAGTTTAAAACTGTATCTTGCCCCATTTTTCTTTTGGTTCACACTCCAAAAAGAAGTATTCATATAATGATTTACTTTTGTCTTCACTGCTGATCACTGACTTGGCGATACATTGTTTTTTTGTTGTTCAATATGTAATGCTATGTGTTGTTTGTCCTTAGGAAACTTCAAGGTTACGAATGAAGCACTTGACTAGTTTGCACAGTTTTGTATCAAAAGTGACAACGGAGCTTATCTGGCTAAATGAAAAGGAGGAAGAAGAATTGGCTTATGACTGGAGTGACAACAATACGAATATTTCTGCCAAGAAAGAATATTTCATTGTAAGTTTTATGTTCAACCTTTTTATAGTACAGCCCTTTGAGGAAAGTTTGTTTGTCTCACTACCCCACCCACTGCTACTTTGTTCCTTGGTCCTCGTTACCTGGCATCAATACTGATAAAACAATGAAAGTTGAAATCACTTCATTGGGGGTGGAGTAGTGTATACAGGTACACTCTCTCAAACTGGCTATCTTGAAAACTGGAGGAGTCTGAAAACTAGACATTTTTTGAAAGTGCCATGTGTTGGTTTATTAACTGAATTCACCTGAACTTAATTGGACAATTTGGCTGGTTGCTGCATGGTGCTAGACTTGTTTCCTTGTGCACTGATCTATTCCTGTGCTCATGCAAAATCTAGCACAGCCTTTCTCCTGAGGCTCGGTTTTGAGAGAGTTTACCTGTAGTTACAATTTTCCATTAACTTTTGCCCAATAGGGTTATCTAGGCAAGTGTTTCCATAAGCAAATGCCAACCATGCCATGATTTTAAGAATGGCAGTCTTTTTAATTGGAAACTGATTCTCTTCCATTCTTTTAGATTTGCTAAGTTGGGCAGAAAGTTACCAGGAATAGAGCAAAAGTGAGCCATTGACCTTAAGTGCACTTTGGTAACAGGGAATGAGTGTTATTGGAGTCATTCATGAAAGTTTCAGATCTACACAATGTTTGCACAGACATGGATGCATATTTTTGCATGGGTATGTTCTTGAAGCTGAGGTGATGTTGGGGCTGGACAACAGTTTTTTTTTCTAAAGCATTTCACTCTGATCAACTTCAAACACATCAGGGTTATTATTCCATTGCTCTATAGAGTTTCTACTGTTATGGCCTTGACAGTAAAGAAAAGGCAACTGTCGTCTTGAAATTCCACACTCTCATAGCATTGACTAATTTTGTAAATATTTTTAAATAGCAGAAAAGAAATTGACGCTCAACTTGGGTCTCTTGTAAGCTGGTTCTGACGGGTTGCAATTTTACTTCTTGTAAGAGTGAATATGCTTCCTTTATGTATTCATGCTAATTAAGTTCATGGATGATGCACATGACTTGATCCTTTTTGCGATGAAGCTGAAGCTACCTGGAGAATTACAAAACAGGTTTAAAAACAAGTCTTGGATTCATAACATGGCTTCTGTGACTGTCAGACATCCTAAAGTGTTTCTCAACAACTGAGTTTACTTTTTAAAAAAAATTCTTAGCCACTACCTTGTTGCTGAAAATGCAGCAAAGCAAACTTTTAGTTTTAAAAAGAAAAGCGATGCCCAGATAATCTATTTTAATGATGGATAAATATTGTCCAGGGCATTGGTAATAACACCTGCACTGCTTTGAAATACGTTCATGGGATCTTTTATGTCCACCTGAAAGAGGAGACAGGATTTCTGTTCAGCATCTCATCTGAAAAATAAAACCCATAATTAATGCAACACTGTCCCTCAGTGCTGCATTGAATTGTTAGCCTAGTTTGTTGTTCTCAAGTCCTGGAGTGGGACTTGAGCCACAGCCTTCTAACTCAGCCATGTCTGACGCATGAACAAAACTTTCCATCCCTCTCCCAAAACCCAAGATGGTAATTGTGGTGAGGTTAGATGTTAATATAGCATATGGTTCACAAATAAAACAAAATGGCTCCAACATGGGCATTAATGGAATGTGTTTTTAATAAGCACTGATGCGATTACCAGTTTAGGTCTAATCGTCTGTCTGCTGAAATAATGACTATGAAAATGTTAATTCTTACTTTCATAAAATAGTAAAAGAATAGTATATTGGATTGAAAGACTAAGAGGTCATCAGTAATGTGTCTTTCAAACACTACTGTTATGAAACTATGAACAAGTTTCAGCATTAATTATATTATCAGTAGAGGTTTGCAGTTTAGGCAGAATTGTATGAAATGGATTGGTGCAATAATTGTGAGGGTAGCCAATATGCATAAGCATAAGGCTAATTACAAGAGGCTAGAGGGAGGTTTTGAGACTTCCATGCCTGTCTAGCCACAGCAGCATCTGCAGATTGTCTAGAATGGTTTCCACTTCCATGGGCTCTGCAAGATGATGCTTGCTGATTTCAGCATTTTATCATTTGGTGGAAAAGTTGCTAAGAGGGCGCCTTCTGGCTTTGTCCTATCTTAAGAACAACCAGAGCATCTCTGATCACTAATCGGCCAAATCTAGGAAAATCATTGCTGGGAGATGGCTCCCCCTATGTTGGTGTGTAAGGACCCGCGTTTGTCTCTGCATTGGGATACTTAACCAATACATGAAATCACGTCCCTGATCTCTTACTAGGGAACTAAAGGTATTTGTTCCTACTGTTTGCTGATTTTGATTATAAATTGTGATTCTATATTAATACTTGCTATTGATAGTTGTATTTCTTTTCTTTCAGAGTTATCTGTACTCTTGTCCAAAGTGCACCTCAATAATTAATGTGAATGTTAAAATTGCATGAAGCGTGGTTAAAAATTGCTCTTATCACATCTCTTCTAGGAACTGAAGAAAGAATTGGAGCAGAAGCAGAAAGTTATTAAATCCCACCAGGAAACAGGAGAGCATCTTTCACTAGAGAACCATCCAGCCAGACAGACAGTTGAGGTAATTTGTTCAGCTAATGTATCATCATGTTTAGGTTGTACAGGATGTTGGGAGTCCTCTTTTGAAGTACTGTGGCCAGTTCTGTTAGCCCTGTTAGAGGAAGGATGTTGTTAAGTTGGAGCGGGTTCAGAAAGCATTTACCAGGATGTTGCCGAGAATGGAGGTTTGAGTTATAAAAAGAGGTTGGGACATTTTTCACTGGAGCATAAGTTGAGGGGTCATTTTAGAGAAGTTTTTAAAATTGAGAGGTATAGGTAAGGTGAATGGCAAGTGTCTTTTTCCTGCAGTATTTGAAGACAAGGGGGCATATTTTCAAGGTGAGAGGAGAAAAATTTAAAGACGTGAGGGGCAATTTTTTTTTAGTGGTTCATTTGTGGAATGAACTTCCAGAAGAAGTGGTGAATATGGGTACAGTTACAATTTAGAAGATATTTGGATAAGTACATGAATAAGAAATGTTTGGAGGGATATGGGTCAAACGAGTGGAACTAATTTAGTTTGAGATTATGGTCGGCATGGATTACTTAGTCTGAAGGGTCTGTTTCCGCACTGTGTGACTCTATGAAGTTTGGCAAATCGTTATTGAAATCTGATATCAAGGCGAGCGGGCTTCAATTTTAGCTGCCTCTGCTGTTCAACCCATAGTATTGTTAAAATATGGGAATATCAAAAGCTGCTTCAATCCTGCATTTTTTTTTTTTAAAAGTGAAAATAATGGTTGTTTCTAGTAGTTGCACCTTCACGAAAGCTCCTGGAACTTCTTAAGCCCCAATTTGAACATTTGCAATTGCCTGTTGTTCCTTACCTTGGTTTTACCAAAACTCTCATGGACGTTAGATAGGAATGCTAAATATTGGCAAGATTAATTTTGCTGGCTACAGATGCATCATGTTAACTCATCAGGTAAAACATCAGTTCTTAGATACAAGTTCACAATCTAGCTAGTATGATTAACACATCAGAGATGATAAGCATGCATTTGAGGGAGTGCGTGGAGTGTCGGTGCTTATTCTGGCATAAATTTAGATAATTCATAATGAAAAAGGTAAAAGTAGTTCAATTATTTTGAACATTTTCTGTAAATTTCTGAGAATAGGTATTAACAATAGTAGGAAATTAATAGGCATTTTTCAGTAAATATTCTTTAGTTGTCAAGACTAAGCTTCATTTTTGCATAAAACTTATAATATTCAAATTTGTAAACATAGAACAGTACAGGCCCTTCAGCCCACGACATTGTGCTGACCTGTTGTCCTACTAAGATCAAACTACACTGCGTACCCTACATTTTACTATCCTCCATGTGCCTATCCAAGAGTCAGTTATAAGTCTCTAAAGTATCTGACTCCCCTACCACTGCTGGCAGTGCATTCCACACGCCCACCACTCTGTGTGAAGAACCTACCTCTGACGTCTCCCCTATACCTTCCTCCAATCACCTTAAAATTATGCCCCCTCATAATATTCATTTTCCATCCTGGGAAAAAAATCTCTGACTATCCACGCTATCTATGCCCCTCATCATCTTGTACATCTCTATCAAGTCACCTCTCCTCCTCCTTCGTTCCAATGAAAAAAGCCCTAGCTCCCTCAACCATTCCTAATAAGACCTGCCCTCAAGTCCAGGCAGCATCTTGGTAAATCTCCTCTGCAACCCCCTCTAAAGCTTCCACATCTTTCCTATAATGAGGTGACCAGAACAGAACACAATATTCCAAGTGTGGTAAGGCCAGAGTGTTATAGAGCTGCAGCGTGACCTCTCGGTTCTTTAAACTCAATTCCACTGCCAATGAAAGCCAACACACCATACGCCTTCTTTACAACCCTATCAACTTGAATTTAATTCTTTGAAAGTTTTATGCACCAATTTGTACAGTCATAGAGTTGTAGGTTTTTTAATATTCTTGGGATCTGGACATTGTTGGCTTGGCCTGTATTTATTGCCCATCCCTAGCACCTTTCGAGAAGGTGGCGACGAACTACCTTCTTGAAGCACTGGAGTCCATTTGCTAAAGGTAGACACAAATATTAGGGAGGGAATTAAGAATTTTGACCCAGCACCAGAGAAGGAACCGAGATATATTTCCAAGTCAGGAGGGTATGCAGCACAGTGCTGTTTGAACTGTACTTATCCAGGCAAATGGGGAGTTCGCTATCCTATTCAGACTTGTGCTTGTAGATTCCTTCACTAGATTGATTGCAGAGAATAAGGGGTTTGTCTTATGAAGAGAAATTGAGCAGATTAGTCCTACACTCTGTGGAGCTGAGAAAAGTTGAGGAGATCTAATTGAGGGATATAACATGCTGAAAAGAATTGACAAAGTAGATATAGAGAGGATGTTTCTTCAAATGGAGCAATCTGGAATGAGAGATTATAACTTTAGGCTAAAGGATGACAGATTTAAAGCAGATAAGAAATTACTTCTCGAAGGATCGTGAATCTGCGGAATTCGTACTCCAGGATACGGTGGCTACTGGGACATTGAGTAAATTTAAGGTGGAGATAGACAGATTTTTTTTAATTAGCAAGGGTTTGAAGCAGGTAGGAAAGTGGATTTGAGGCTGAGATGAGATAATTTGTTTTATTAAATGATGGAGCAGGCTTAAGGGGCTGAATTGCCTCCTCCTGCTCCTTGTTTTTAATGTTCTCGGTGGTAGAAAGGCTTTGGGAAGTCTAAGGGGAATTATTTGCTGCAGGATTCTTGGCTCCTGACCTGTTCTTGTAGCCATACACTATTTGTATGGCTTGTCTAGTTCAGTTTCTGGTCAATGATAACCCCGCAGGATGTTGATAGCAGGGATTCAGTAATGGTAATGCCAAGCAAATTTCAGGGGACAATGGTTAGATTCTCTTGTGTTGGAGATGGTCTCTGCCGGCCATTTTGGTGGTGCAAAGTTAGTTGTTGTTACTTGTCAGCCCAAACGTGGGTATTGTTCAGGTCTTTCTGCATTTGGGTATGGACTTTGTCAATATCTGAGGAGTTGCAAATGGTACTGCACATTGTGCAGTCATCAGCAAGCATCAAAACTTGTAACCTTATGATGGAATGAAAGCCATTGATGAAGCAGCTGAAGATGGTGGGGTGAAGGTAATGTTGAACAAAAGAAAGTGAAAGCATGTTAGGAAAAAGCTACAAAGCTTGAACATTCAACATTTTTACATAACTGAATTTCAGTATCTTTTGTAAAAAGGAAACAAAGTAATAGCAAGACAGGGTTATGTAAGATCCATTAATATGCAACCCATCTTAGTAGCACCCTTGGCTGAGAGTCGGATGATCAAAGGTTCAAGCCTTACTTGGACACACAATCTGGACTATCATTTCATCCAATAAATTAGTTTGAAACATCATTGGATGCACAGAGATTACATATGCAACAACATTGTAATCCTTCTGTAAATATTTCAGGTATATCTGAATATTATATTCAGAATCAGCACTCTGGGAAGAAAAACAGGCTAACAAGTTATGCATCTCCTGTGCTGTTTGTGGGATGTTGCAGTGCCCAATTAGTTGCCATGCTTGCTGTTTACAGCACTGACAACATTTCAAAAAGTAATTTTAATTTTGAATTACTCTGTCCTGAACATGTGATAAATGACGTTATAAGCTCTATTAGACAAGATTTAATTCAGCAACATGATAGAAGTATTTGCATTCTTGTCTAATGTCATAACAAAATGGTGTAGTTTTGTTTTTAAAAAAAAAAACTGGATAGTTGAATAATAGAAGCACTTGAAGTGCTAGTCATATTGTGAATAAACTGCATTTGTTCCTTTTAAGGCATACAGTGCTGCCCTTAAGACACAATGGCACTGGATCAAACAATTATGTTGCTGCGTGGAACAACATGTAAAAGACAATACTGCTTACTTCCAGGTAAGATAGACTTTATGGTTACAATAAACACACTAGGTATAGAATTTGCTTTCAAAAATAACATGCCATTGAAGTAAATTCATGTACTGATTACTGAAATATTTAATGTATTATCTTTTAACTGACTGAAGGTTACTTTATAGTTCCCTGTTACTAGTGTGAAATATAGCTGATCAGCAGCATATGTTGGAAATGCAAGAGATGCTACCTCTCCAATTCCTAAACACTGCCTACAAATATTCCTTCCAGCAGCATAAACTTAGCTAAAATGGGGAAATTTTACTGTAAAATTTCCATGCTTTAGCTAAATTCGTACTGAGTGTTCAGCGAATTAAACTCTTGTTTGCCACTTTACATTTGGCCCTAAAGAGCATGGAGCTACTTGAAAGATCTCAGCTACTGCTGAATCCAACACATCAACAATCTTGTTGCTAAGTCTCAATAGAAATAATGTTAATGTTATTCAGTTATTCAGTCAACTGAAGGTTACATTTGAAGTATTGCTCACAGTCATCAGTAGTTTTCTTCTCCAGGAAAGACTATGGTGTGGCTTTGTACATATCTCTTGTCTAAATATTACAAGCTTAAATGTGACCTCTTAAACAGGAGAGAAAGAGTCCTCCTCCTGTTTTGTAGCTGTCTTGCATTTTTTTTTTTTGTAACGCTTTCTATTTCTGGCTGTCTCTACCTGCCTCTACTGTTTCTCTGATCTTTAATTATCATTCTTTATTTCTTGTCTCACACTGTTTCTTCTTCCACCTGCTCCAAAAAATCCTGGATCATAAACAAGTACGATTTTCATCAGAAATGTACCTTCTCATGATTTTGCTCAGTCTCAAGACATACAATCTACCAGTGCCTATGAATATATTAGATTTTGTTTTTCTCAGCATTCTCCCTTCTCTGAGAAGTGTTGACTCTTTGTCGTGATGTTGTTTCATAAATGCTGGTCTCCATCCTGTACCTCCATTCATCATTTATGAATGCGCCTATAAAGTAAGTGTTGATAAACTTCAACACTGAAAGGAAACGCAACTAAATTTAATCCTATTCTCCATCTTTGCATAGGCTACTGAGTCATTAGTAGAAACCGTGGATAATTTCTCACTCTCTGCATCAGTTCTGTTGTGGCCAGTTGCAAGCCCCAAATGCAGCACCAAGAATGAGACTTTGATGTTCTGTGTATGAGGTGTACAATTCCTCACCATTCAACTTGATGAGCCATCAGTAAAATTTATGTTTTGGATATTTTCATAGCATTTTTTGTCCATTTTGTTTTTAACCATTTTGTGTTTTGTGAAGTACAGAAATTTGATGGTCGAAACGTTGCCAATACTGATTGAGTTTCATGACACCTTTTTTAATAGAATAATACAACTGACATTTGTTCATTTTTTCTTACACCTGCCTTGGAGAAGTTGACTGACTTTTGGGTACAAGTTTCACTTTTAGTCTTTGCTAGTGCAGAACTTTTGAGTATTGCTGAAAAATGTCACATCTTGACAAAACCTTCCAGTTGACACTCATCAAAACAATTCACAAGATGTACTGAAGTAACTGCATTTGCATTGTATGAGAGAAGAATGCTGATGGTTGGCAATTGGGCACTGATTGATAGAAAATGTGTTTCCCCACATTGGGGAGAATGCACCAGTTATTAATGACCAATTAACTATCAAGCTTTATTAATGACACCATGTATGCTGAAATATATGCTGTTGCCATAGGATTCCTGCCAGGGCCAGCTTCCGCAAATATCTTTGGTTCACGTAAAACAAAATAACACCTAACCACCTACCACTTGCATAGCTGCAATATTTAGATGATATGTTTGTTATATTTGAATTGCAGCTGCATGTAAGAATTCCCTGCTACATCTTAATGGGTTCCTGTGCTTAAACTCACCTTTTGAAATGGAGCAGTCAAATGAGCTTTCTTCCCTTGATCTTCTGATTGTGAAATTGGCTAACTGTTCTCTAATATCATCTATTGCAAACTCACCTCACTGGTCAGGGAATGCACTGGGTTTCCTTTGGTTCCACATGCTGTAATTTTAGCCTTATTGGCAATCTGTACATAACTAGGGCCCAAACGTTTTGTGCATCATGCACACTTGATAATGAACTGGGATGCATAATGGCTATCCTGATCAGATTTTTTTTATTGTATATCATGCAAAATTGTGAAAGAGCCTAAAGCTGTGGCTTTTGATCCTGAAAGATAACCAGCCTATCTCAGTTATCCTAGAAGGGTAAAGTATTGCTTAAGGTATTAGGCTACATCCCAAAGACTGGCAGACAGTGTAAAGCAGCATTAACTCTGCGTGTTTTCAACAAGCAAGGCACTGATGGTACTCTATCAGCCTGTGTTTGCAAATCTTGTAGCATAGTACCCAACGTGAGATGTGATTCCACAGTTGGGCATTTGCTATATAATCTTAAGTGTGCAAGAATTATACTGGCAACCAATTTTAGATTCTCAGTTGGGCTAATTCTGTGGTGGACTTTGCTTGTGCTGAAGACTGCATATATTGACACACAGGACTCTGCAAAATACAGATAGAAAGATCATGTACACAGATTGCACCTATTTCAGCAGCAAAGCAGGTGACATTCCGTGGTTCACCTCTCAGGGTAATGCCTTGAATAATAAGAATCACCCTTCCTTGTTTAAGATTTAAACAGAACTTGGCACGTAACTGTCAGGCATAATTAACTGGTGTATTCTTTATGGCAAAACCTACACCAATGAGAGGCCAATTGTCCATTGATCACACTCCTCATACAGTATAAATGTTTTATTTTCCCTTTGGTAGTTTATTCTGTTATTTCCTGTGAATTGTCCTGATAATTGCAAGATAAAAAGCTTGAACAATATTATCTCTTTTCAGCAAGTTTTCTTTGTTCTTATTTTTGACTCATAGGCTGTTTGTAAGTATATATTTTAAATTGAGATGGCAAAATGAAACCTTCAGACTTTCTATTATTGTTTGGTCATTTATGGTGCAATTTTTTTGAGACCAGCTGAAAAACACAGCTATTTCCTTCTTTCTTAGTTGCAACATTTCACTGTGACCAATTGATGCAGCACTAGTTCATGAACTCATTTGCCTGTCTAAGATTGATTGATTAATTTCTCAACAGTATTGCATCAAAATTCAGTATCTACAGAAGTAATTAATATTGGCCCATCTTGGTCTAGGAGATATTTGGGAAACTTGTGTCTTTTGCTTTATTCTTTTTTTAACTATTAACGTGTGTTCCTGCTGTCTTGTAGTTTTTAACTGACATTAAAGAAGCAGAACAGTATTTACGGAATCTTCAGGAGACAATAAAGAGAAAATATAAGTGCGACCGGACCAGTAGTCTGTCAAAACTAGAGGATCTACTTCAAGATTCCATGGTATGGACAATGATTTGCATGTTGAACATGAATATTATTTTATTTGTTTGATAATTGTCTTGTTTGTGAAGTCAGCCTCATGGAAAATTAGCTTTTATCCAAAATCTTTCACAGAAGGACTTCAACTAAGCAGTTAGTAATATGTAAATCTGGTACAAAATTTTGAATTTGGGCATCTGAAGGTTCCTTACGCACAAGTTGTTCTGTGTTAGTTTCTCCAACCTGACAGTTGAATGGTGAAAGAAAAAACTCTAGGATGACAATTTCTGAGATTTAAGAGATTAGGAATAAGAAATGAGTTTATATGCTCAGTGTCTACTGTAATTGAGTTGGAGAGTGGCAAACAGTTGCTTTGCATTTCTCATCTACATGTTTCATTAGACGAATTGTCACATGTCCATGATAGGAAGAGGACATTAGTGTGTTTGCACATTTAATAGTTGTGCTATCCATCATGCCACATGGGCAGCAACTGGTATGTAAAAGAGCTCAAAGCCATTTTCATTAGCTACCTGGTAATAACTGGTGACTTCCATTTTATTCATTCTTTGGATGTAGGCATCACTGGCTAAGCCAGCATTTATTGCACATCTTCAGTTGTCCTCTAAGGTAGTGATGAGTTGATTTCTTGAACCGCTGCAGTCCTTGGGTATAGTACACCGACAGTGCTGTTAGGATGAGAATTCCAGGATGTTGACCCAGTGACTGTGAAGGAAGAGTGATTATAGTTCTGGCTGGGGGAAGTGTATGGCTTGGAGGGGGACTTGCATTGTAACACTATCAACTGCATCTGTCACTCTTGTCCTTCCTGGTGGTAGTGTTGGAGGGTTTGGAAGGTATTGTCAAAGGAGGCTTGTTGAGTTGATGCAGCGCATCCTGTAGATAGCCCACACTGCGGCTACTGTGCATTGATGATGGAGGGAGTGAATGTTCTGGGTGTTGATAAAGTACCAAGCAAGCAGGCTACTCTGTCCTGGATGGTGTCAAGATTCATGAATGTTGTTGGATCTGCACTCATCCAAGCAAGTAGAGAATATTCCATCACATTCTTCGTGTATAGTAACTTGGATTGGAAGTCACTTGACAACAAAATATGGCAAATAATGAATGGTCAGCAAAATTTATGACTGGTTCAGTTACCTGAAATTGGTTCACAGCTTGCTTCAAAAATAGAATTTACAAAAATGGGCCTGGTAATGGTGGCTGGAATTATTTGCCTCCGCTTAACGTTATCCTGTAAGCCAGTGGGTGTAATGGAGAGGATATGCACAGATGGACAATCAAAGTTCCAACATCTGCAGTTTTGTTTTGTTTCTGGCTTTTAGTACATTCTTGTCCTCTTCTGTCCTCTTCTGTTCTCCTCTGGTTCATCTGCCCTGACAGAATTGGCAGAACGTTACTTGCTTTGGGAGCGTGGTATTTTGACATTCTGAACCAAAAGACCAAAGCAATAGAGTGGCTAACACAATACCATAGCATAGATAACAAGGTGTAGAGCTTTTTCAGACCCAAAACGTCAGCTTTCCTGCTCCTCTGATACTGCTTGGCCTGCTGTGTTCATCCAGCTCTACACCTTGTTATCTCAGATTCTCCAGCATCGGCAGTTCCTACTATCACCATAGCATGGATGTTTGTTTTGCAAGCCCAAGAAGAGACTAGTGTTGGTGTGTCTATCCTTCCAATCGATTTGAGGGATCGTCCTTGGGCAGCGTTAACGCTACGAGCCCAGTGCTTTGCCTATGGCAAACGTCCTTTTGTACAGAGATGATAGGAACTGCTGATGCTGGAGTCTGAGGTAACAAGGTGTGGAGCTGGATGAACACAGCAGGCCAGGCAGCATTGGAGGAGCAGGAAAGTGGACGTTTCAGGTCTGGACCGTTCTTCAGAAATGGGGGAGGGGAAGGGGTCTCTGAAATAAATGCCAGGGGGAGGCGATGATAGAAGGTGGATAGAGGAGCAGTTAGGTGGAGAGAAGACGGACAGGTCAAGGAGGTGGGTATGAAGCTAGTCCAGGTGAGTGTAGGTAGGGAGTTGGGATGGGGGTTGGTCAGTGAGGAGGGAGGGGCAGGTAGGTGGGAGGGAAGATGGGCAGCTCATGGAGGCGGGGATGAGGCTGGTAGGTAGGAAGTAGGGGTGGAGGTTGGTTAGTGAGGTGGGAGGAGCGGATAGGTGGGAGAAAAAACGGACCGGTCAAGGAAGCAGTGACGAGATGGGCTGGTCTTGGGATGAGGTCGGAGATGGGGAGATTTTGAAGCTTGTAAAATCCACATTCAGACCATTGGGCTGCACGGTTCCCAGGCGGAATATAAAGTGCTGTTCCGCCAGCCTTCGGGTGGCATCGTTGTGACACTGGAGGAGGCCCAGGATGGACGCGACTGGGAGGTGATGTCGTTTGTCATGAACTGAGCGTAGGCACTCCACAAAGCGGTCTCCAAGCCTCCGCTTGGTTTCCCCGATGTAGAGGAGGCCACATCGGGAATAGCGGATACAATATACTACATTAGCGATTTTAATGTTGAATTTTTCCAACTTTGTTTATTTATCTGTAATATAGAAATAAGTTTGAGAATTTGTCAACAAATTGCTTTGTGTTCACTTCTAGTTATAAAACTTTAGATATTTTGGAAGGAATTATTATTGAACCCCTTTCAGTTAAAAATGGAGTTTGTGTTCCCTTTGCATATTGTCTCAGTATGCCCTCTAGAGGGCAAAGACAGGGGGGAAAAGTGGTTTTGTGAAAATCCAAAACATTGTATCATCGCCCAATTAAAATTCAGTGCTTAAATCTGCTTTGAAATGTTTGATATTTTGACTTGATTGCTGTTAGTATTTAAAAGCAATATCTTTCTTATTTTAAATGAAATTTTTTACTATATAATCTCATGATGTCTTTAACCTTTTCTAGCAGTCTGTGTGACTATTTGATCCACATACAAATCTTCTATTTTAACACCTTAGATTTGCTCACTTCATACAGTTATCACATTAAGTATTGTGATTTTTGATTTAAACTTTCCTTTGAAGGATGAAAAGGAGCAGCTGATCAAGTACAAGAGTTCCATAGCGAGTCTTGTTGGAAGAGCAAAAACAATTGTTCAATTGAAACCAAGAAACCCCGATAATGCTATAAAAACCACAATCCCAATCAAGGCTATCTGTGACTACAGGCAGATTGAGGTAGGAGTTCTGCACCTGTTTTTAGTAAAAGACTGAAAAGGAAACAAAATGCTGAGTTGCTTTTAGTAATGTGGAGGTAGTGGTATTAAAATGTACTAAGTACAGTTTCCGTTTTTGGCCTAGGAAGGCTTGCACCTAGAATTGACACTGACATCTTGTTCTTGTACTATCATAAATTTTCAACTCTACAATGTTTTATTGAGTAAGAAATTTAATGAATTTTGCAAACAATTTTTTTATCCCTATTCCCTCACCACCTCCCTGCCCTGTCTCTGTTATTTCTCATGGGAGCCGCTTGGCACCATGCAGCATCCATCAACTAGGAAGGTTAAAGGGTCTGGGCCGCAGTCAACATTCCATAACCACTGTCAGTGTCACTTCGGAATTGGCCAGCAGGAGGTACGTTTTTAATGGGGTCATCCAACCATGCCAATGTTTCCCTCCATCAGAAAATGGTGCATTGCACCTTGTAAGACGTTTTATGTATAGTTCAACTTGGAAATGTCATTCCCAGAAATGGTGTATGTGCTTTAGCAATTGCCACTATTCAAAACCCCTGACCATCTGGTTGGGATGTTGACTTTCTACTGGACAGTAACAGCTGTTTCATGATATTGCGAATTTTGTAACAAAATTTAGCACTGATTTTACTTTGTCAGATGTCTCATTCTTTATTTTCTCAAAAAAAGGAACAAGCATGTAAATTTATAACAGTCTACGATTGGTAGATCGTGCATTGGCTTTTATGGTTTTATTGGGCCAACATCATGGAGCACTGGATCCCTCCCAAAACTTTGTATTTATTGTTTATGCGCAAGTTATTTTCAGAGGCCATGGACCAGCACCTTTGTCTGCAACACCATTCAACCAAACAAGTGAAGTGGTTAAAATGTAGTTAGTTTTCTATTTAAGTAAATGGGTAACTTGTAACTCTATGCTTCTATTGATGCCTTTGTTTAAGAAAATATAGATGTGTCTATATTGGGACATAAGTCCTGGCATTATAAATTTCTGTTATTAACAGATTACTGTCTGTAAAAATGATGAGTGCGTTCTGGAGGATAACTCTTACCGAACCAAGTGGAAAGTTATTAGTCCAACTGGGAATGAGGCAATGGTTCCATCTGTCTGTTTCACAATCCCTGCACCAAATGAAGAAGCAATTGACACTGGCAGCAGGTATAGAACATTTTGTTACTAAATAGCAATTTGATGTAGGTAGTTCTGATCATGCCACCTTTATTTCATAATACTATTGACTACTTGAATTCATTTTTTTTAAACTTTTTAGTAAAATGTATTTAAAATAATTTGTTTCGGCAATCAGTTTTATAAATTCATTTCTATGAATCATTGTCCAGGCTATATGGAGTGTTATCCTTCTGATAAATTTCAGATCTTTTATGTATAATACTGTAAAGGACATAGTTGCAGTGGATTTGTTGCATTAGTGACACTTGATGGTGATTTTTGTATCATGACCAAGTCTAATTCAAATGATAGGTGGCTTAAAATGCCCATTTCAGGTTAAGTACTAAGCTGTTCATTTGAAGTAGCCATGTCATGAAGCCTTCCATCTGTTTAGATATTGTATTATGACTAAAGTACATTATCAATGAATTTAGGTTTTTACCTTTATTGCCACCACAATTCTTTGAATTGAAAGTTGACCCATTTTCTACTGGATAAAATGTACTTTTAAAATATTTGGGCACTTGGTTAAGATAATTCTATTGTGGATCTGCCATAGAATGCCATGTTCAACCATTTCTGGGAAACATGGAGCAAGTGAGAATTTAAGCAGATGTTAATGCCACACATCTCAAAATGATCTTATCTTGCTGTGATGTAAAAGTTATAACAAGGTGTAGAGCTGGATGAACACAGCAGGCCAAGCAGCATCAGAGGAGCAGGAAGGCTGACGTTTCGGGCCTAGACCCTTCTTCAGAAAAATCTTTTCTAGCAACTTTGTTCTGAGGAAGGGTCACCGGACCCGAAACGTTAACTCTGT